ATTTATTGAATAGTTCACAACATAGACTGATCTTAGTCAAACGACCATTGGTAACCTGCAAGCAGTGGACAGATGTTTCGTTCAAGTATGAGACTTGTATGAAGTAAAGATCTATCACTTCACCAAAGATAGAAGCCAGGAGAGTCAGGTAATTGCAATGAGCACTTAATCTTTTAGACCGACGAGCTAGTATCCGATGGTCTACATTTCTAACGTCAATCAGTTCGTGATATTGCACAACTATCTTCAAATACCATTATTGATGGATAACTTTCTCATCTCTGGCATATAAACTACAAAATTTAACAATCCTGATAAAAGTCCTTTATGCTGTGAACAGTTAGCAAGAGTGAAAGAATATGTAAGAAGTGTTTTAATTGTTTACCTAAAACTGATGTATAGTAATCATTCATGATTTATAAAATGTAGAAATCGATTCAAACAACTGATTTTCACTTAATATTAATTAAATGCAGTTCACGAAGCCGAAGTTGACTTTATCTTTTATATATGAATACTCATTCATAATTTTAGATACATTTAGAATATAGATAACAATGGAATGTAGGACCCAGGTTTCATCATATCCATTACTAGTCAGCTAGATCTACCGACTCTTAGTACCGACTTTCACACAGGGACTCTTATCAAGTACCTAATATTTCAAATATCAACAGGTTATTCTTTACTAAGTTACTGAGTATGATGATCAACTTGAAAGTGAAACCAAGGCTTCCATATTCGACTCCCTATAATAATGGTGGCGAGTGCGTGATGCAATGGCCTCTCATACGAAACAATTTACTTCCCAGTGTTTACAGGTTTCCAATGATTGTCTATAACTGGTTAGACTGGTTAGGTTAGTGATATCAATCAGATTATCGATAAGTAATCACTTTCTACAAATACAGTCTTTTACAGTAATAATATTTAACACACTAGTTTCTATATTGTAGAAATTAATTTTTAATATTACATGTCAGCGGAGATTTTAAATAATAACATTACTAATTGAGGACTGATGAGTTCTATATAAGATGAAATGAAAGTCCTGGAGTCCCCTGACCCGAATGAACATATGCTGACATAGGTTGGTCAGTTAGAATATTTAAAATCAACATTAGGCAGATTCTAACTTTTAATTGTGTTTCAAAAATTTGAATAAGTCGAGAAACCTCCCAGTATACATTCAATTAATCAAAGCCATTTGATAAGTTACAGTACATTTTGAAAATTCTAAACTTTGTTTAGCCTTTTCTAGAGATATTGATGAAACATGCAGGTTCGTTTGTAATACTGAATCTCTTCAAACTTCTTGGTAAACATGTCGAATAATATTCGGTAAATTTTCAGTTCTACTGTGGCGTTTTATTTTCTTTAATGTTCAGTATTTACAGGTTGACCACGTTGTAACACCAGTTTTCTACAGTTTACAATATAAACCATTGCATTTCTACTGATCAATTCGAAATTTATCGTGTTTATCAATTTATATAGTGGCTCTCAATTCTGTCAGATATAGGGATGTTCGGTATAAACTGCTAATCGATTTCAGAACTATGGCAAAAGAAATGTCATTTTAAATGAATGCCATGATTCTGCCTTTGTTAAGAACAAGTTGACTGTATTTTTGGACAGTAGTTAGTACTAGAATAAATGGTATTTATTTTGACTAATTTAGATCAAATCAGTGACATGAACTTTATATTAATAGTTATACTCATTGGGGAACGTGATCCAATGTGACAAAAACCTCTAATTGTTATTCAGTAATCTAAAAATAAATCAACTGTTATCACTAACTTGTTTAACAAAGTATAATCCGTATCGTTAATTGTACTGGTGTGCATTTTTCCAATACAAAGGATTAAGTATCAAAAGTGAGTATCAAAGCCAGACACTCGATATTATCCAATTGACACGTCGCAAATTCCAATGCTAGTTCTTATATTTAAAGTATAGAATGTGAGATGGAGAAAATTCGTTGCTTAAATGAATGATTATCATGGAGTTTTGTTCTCTGAGCAAGATGGTTTAGCTGTTCTTCTGAACAACATCATCAGCACAAACTTCAGGTAGAAGTAAAGCGATCGACGTTTTCTACATACGACCCATAGCTTGTCCCATTGACTTCAATCTTGATTGGTTGGTTGCTGATGAAGTTGTTCATAAAAACAATGAAAGCTCCACAAACAAACCATCCTGTTTAGAGAACGAAACTGCACCATAAAATATAAATTGTTTTTTTTATTGAAATTACTCAATATTTATAAAAACTAAATGCATACAAAATTAAACAACCTTTTTTGTGCATGTTAAAATCAATAAAAAAAAAATACACTTCTATAGCACATTTTGTAAGTAATACTAATTAAATGAAAAATTCATGTATTAAAAATATTTCAACTATTTTATTTTATTATCTATAAGGCAAAAGTATATGCAGCAAGAATGATGAACTAATCAAAAATAAAAAAAAAAACTACTGTCAAGATTTTGTTAAAAGGTTACAAAATGGATGAATCATATATTTAAACATGGAGTTAACCATCTGTTTTCAATGTTCAATAAAAGTGCAATATTTAGCATTATCGATCGATTTTTTTCACTCGCATTTAATGAGTGAGTATTGTATGAGCATGATTTTAACTAGGGATTATATCATAGTTATTTAAAGCAGTCTTCACATTATATATTATGAATATGACAAAGTAGCACACCTCAGCTTGCAGGATGGAAAAAGCAATTACTGTGAAATCTAGAGCTTGAAATGAAATCTCCCAGTGATATTTATACACTTAAATGACGCAGAGACACATTAAATAAACAGGAAACTGTTCGAAAATGTTTGACAACCAGAGGATATTAAAAACTGCGAAACAGAAGCGTACCAAAGGTACGGACACGTTTTCAATCTGCCTATATGATCACTTACAACTTTGAGATAGAAATACATTTTTACAATGCTCAGATTGGTACAGAACATTCATTCAATGTGAAAAGGATCAAGTTTAAACCTATTAGGCAAAGATTTTATATCACAATCAATCCTTGTTTCAGTTCACTTTATTTTTGGTGAACCAGTAAACAATATATTCCATCAATGTTTCATTATATGATTGGCAAACTAGTGAGTAAAGTAGAAACACTATAGTCAACTACGATTTTTATTCATGAATTCGTCTATATGGTCCATATGTCAACAATCTTCGTTCTCTCATAGTTTCTCCTCTCTCAATAACTACTCTACAGTGAATTCACTAATTAAAATATTGTAGTTGTTGATGATTTTCCTGTGGAGCCATTTATGAATATGAGAAATATTCATAAAGGAACTATGATTAGTATGAATAAGTTTGTATAGAGAAGCACAATCTTGTTTAGTGATATTTATGTTACACAATTAAAATGCAGTTACTGATCCCTGATCCTTGTAAACGGAATAGAGTTTCTCAAAGCTAATGAAATCGTACAGAGGATCTGTTACATTGATGATGAAATGGTCTTTGTTCATACAGGGTGCTTAGTGATTTTTTATAGATTGACTTGTAAATTGTATGATCATTTCAAGAATCACTTAAGTTAATTTTTATACTCTTCATAGACGTTATTAGATATCTTTCTGCTTGTCATATTTTCACTCTCATTCATAGTTTGCTTACAATTATTTTTTGTAGCTTTTTAATAAATAAACTACATTGTTTATTGTGTGGTAAAAGTTATTGAGTTAATCAAAGCATTTGAAATATCTCTTTGAATGAAAACAATCCAATTCTTTTATGAAGTGGCATAATTTTCAATGTGTATTATATTTTGATTATAATATAATATTTAAAACGTGTACTATTTACCTTTTTTTATTCATACGGTGGTCACGTTTACTTATACTTAATAATAAGTATACTGATCGCAGAACTTCATAGATCAATCAACTGTGTGGTTATGTATGAATTCGGTAAATATTTTAATCATTTCAGCTGGGTAGTCAAGGTAGGTGTTAAACTTAAGTTACATCCTAATGTTAGCAGAGCTCAACAGAGTTGATTATATTCGCCTTAAAGAATAAGATGGATATTATCTAAATGATTTTCATCTTCATTAATTCATCTCAATAAGTAGCTAACCATAAAGACCTCCTAGGCATAATACTCATATATTTACAAATAAATTGATTGATAAACAATTTCCGTAAATTATTTCTACAAAATTAAAGTTGAGCAAGATAATTTATAAAAAAAATAAAAATTTTTTCTACCAAGTAACTGATCAGTAAAATCTTATACTCAGAATATTTTCAAACGATATCAGAAATTTCACTTAGTTCTGTCTTAAACAAAGTAAACTTTCAGTCTAATCAGAATAAACTAAGTCAATATGGTTTTTAAAAAAAAGTCGGTAAATAGATGATAACATAATTTGTTTGCTAACTTCTACTCAGATTAATTTCAATTGAGATAGCATTAACAACTAGGAATCCTTGAATCATTGTCTAGGACTCGCGAGAAGTTTTTATCCTTAAACTAAACGAAAAAAAATCAGCCTAAATAATAACTTAAGTCAAGATGTTTTCAAAGTTCCACTGGACTAATTTAGAAATCGTAAAGTTGAAACATGTCGAAAAGTAAACAGTTGTTACCATTAGTATTAGATTATTGTCGCACTGTCGCATAATACCTACAAATTAATGCCAACCAAATAGTTTAAATGATAAAGTGTTCAACACGAAACCTGAATGCCTCGATTTATTCGCCTGTGTGAATCGATGTACATATGTACTAGGTTCTACTTTGACTGACCAACTGACTGAAGCATCCTATCGCTCATGTAGTAAACTTGTGTACTTGTGTATAATAGTTCTTAAATCTCAATTTAGTAACTAAAAAATCAAATTCAAATATATCTATACACATAGAAGAAACAATGATAATGAGTCATAATTATAACGTTTAAACACATCAGTTAACATTAGCAGAACACTAGAAAAACAAAACAATACTTACATGGTAATCCATAAACATGTAATTTATAAAGACCTTTCACATTCAATGTAACCGAATCAAATGTATAACTTTCTAAATCTGTAGTCGCACAATTATATTCTTGTTTAAAATTGGCACCATCATTCTCAGAATCCGATGTACAATCATTTTGAAGATTAATTATTTTCATGAATGCTTCTATACCATTGAAATATAAAGCTGTATTTTAGAAAAAATAAATTAAAAAAATAAAACACTGTAGAAATGCATCAATTATTAATTTTGATGAGAACAATGTAAAACAAACAATATAAGCTAATTGATGAGAACTAGGCTTATTCTGATTGTAACCAACCAACAATAATAATAATAATAATAATAATAATAATAATAATGATAATAATATTCAATACATTTTCCAGTTCATTCATGTAAATTAAAATTTTTCTTTTCTCCAACATTCACACAATTCCTCTGATGAAAAAGTAAATAAATAAACAACATTCAAATCATGCCATAACAACAACAATAACAATTTTTTGGACAAGATTCTTTTTTTTTGTCAACAGAGCACAACTAACATGGTAAATGTTTGTATCGGGTTAAACAATTAATTGATCAATCAACCAAGACCAACTAAGAGTGAAATTATAAAATAAACTTTTCAATGAATTCACCAACAACTGGTTTTCACATGTTCAACAAGTAGTAATAAACAATCGATGCACATTAATCACTCTTGACCATTGAATAACAAGTAGATAAGACAACAAACCCCAAGTGTTTAAGGTTATTGATTGAAGTTAGTCTAGCCTCTTAATTAAACGAATCCTAATTATGACTCAATAAAAACTAATCAATGGGAGTGTGTGTGTATATGTGGTGTATAGGTTAGACAGAAGAGAAAAAAATGGTAAAGTTAATCAGTTGGTTGTTTTCAACATGGAGGGTTATGTAAACAATATGGGGTGTAAATATAATTGTGAAAGTATGTCAACTAGTAACTTTGTATATAAACTTGCTATTAATATTAGTTAGTATCTGTTAACATAGATCTGAAATGTTGACAAAACTAATAAATATTGATTGGGAACCTGTTGTATAGTATATCAATGACAGATCCTACCACTGATATAGTACATATAATTTATCTTGCCCAACTAACGATAAATGACAAAAAAGCCGTATGGATCTGATACATCTTGCTGTATAGTAACTGAAGCCCCGATTTGAAGGCTTTATCGGTAGAATATCGGACTCTGGATACTAATAGTTTTATAGAGCTTGCTTCTGACTACTTGTGTCTACTCAAGTTCAGAATACAGTGTACTTGATGTTGAGTCACTTAGGCTAGTAGTAGTGATCACAGTGCAACTTGACCAGCATTCAGGGGAACTAGATTGCAATAAAACCCGACGATCTTCACACCGAAATCTTGAATAACTTATTGTTAGACCACCACTAGCAACACACATGCACTGGATAGCCGTTTCGTCATGGTACGGGACTCATAGATAGTGCCCATTCACTACTCCACTCGAACCCAGGATCTTCAGTTTCTCGTGCGAACGCCTAGTCTCTAGACCACTGAGCTCGCATCCGACAGTGTTAGTATCTAGCTTTGATCAATCAAGATTTTGAGCAATGCTGAAGAGTCCCATAATGGGAAAAAAACTGCCGTCCAGTGCTTCCAAGTTTCTAATGGTGACCTAACAATGATTGATTCATGATTTCAATGGAAACAGCAATCTTCATAACTCTGTACTGAAGATCTTTACAACCCTCATAGTGACATATATATATATATGTTCTACTTTTCCTAAATTCGCTTTGTATCTAACTAAACAACATTACACAGATAAACTTGTATAATAGTAAATCACCGTATCAATATGACACATACATTCTTTTTCATTACTGTGACAATACGGTAATACAGTCAAGTATGATAACAGTTGAAAAGTACATCATTTCACAGAAGAAATCTATTTCCTCTTATATAAACTAGTAGTAATAGTGGTAGTAGTAGTAGTCCCAGGTTATTTCTTTTTTAACAAAATAAAACTAACATAAACTAAATTATATATTGTATTTTGATGTGAACATAATGTTTGTTTGTCCGTTTAGGTTTTACAAGTATCAAAAATGTCAACTTTCAACTACTTTAAAGCAAAAAAAAACCAAAAGCATTTTATCTGAAAGTATTCATAAAACACATATGAGATTATTACCTGATGGTTTTTCTTCTGTGTTATTTTGTCAATAATATTAACAAGAAAGAATTCAATCAAATTTTTTGCAGTGATTTTTTTATGCATACTTAAAAATACCTAATACTGTTGTTTTTAATGCATTCTTCTAACTAGGCACCTAGGTAATAAATTGACCGTTATCGATGGAATTGGGATAAAATGAAGAATTTTTAAAAATCGGAGATCGATGAAAATTGGCGGTGAAGTCCAAGACGCGCGTTTCGTCCAATTTGGTAATACTCGTCAGCTGAATTTATCCTGAATCCTAGAGATAATGTCCATATAGGGCTCGAATCCGGAACTGTTCTCTTCAAATACTATTGCATTATCCATTTAGATACTGAGTTCATATAGCCAGTGGCTTTTGCAATGGGGTGAAATTCAATTCCTCATTCATTTCGTTTATAATACTTCTGATTTAATGACAATATCGAGACTAACCTCACAGGAAGAACAAATATTAAACAACCAATACAAAATGAATTAATCCGCAAAACAGGTTTTCAATTATTTATCTTCTTTAAGAATTTCATAATTCTTCTGTTCAGATTAATTTTACTACCGACAGGTTCCATGTTTAGCCCTCTTTTATCTAAGTCCAGGCCAGTTACTATTGTAGTGTTACTCAGTAAAATTGGAAAACCATTTCGTAAATCGTTAATTTGCAAAATATCATTTCATCATATCAAACTGGACTGTTCCTGTTGCAAAACATCAGTCCATTGTCACTATTCATGCGTTTCATACAAATTCCATTGTGTTCTAACTCTTCCTTTCTTGATTTTCCCCATTCTTCTGCTGCCAGACATTACGTTGACACTCACGTCATATACTACTTATAAGTAGCTCGCACCACACTACTACTTCAGTTTCTTTAAAATTCATTCTATTAAATTCATCTAACAATATTGATATGGTGTGACATGTTGATTAGGGTTGACAGTATTACTGATTAGTATAGTGATAAGTAGTAGTAAGTAAATAAGTAAGTAGTAGTCATAAGCACACTGTTTAAATCATAATCTAGGCTGATATGTATATATATATATATATATACTCATCATTATTCAGCGGTTCAGTAGTAGTTTAACTGACACGCCATTGAAAATCAATAAACACTGGACAACTGTTTCATCCTACGATAGAATGTTTTTACTGTGCACGTTTATCATACTGTTACAGAGCGACACCAGAGTCTATGAGATCTTGTGATGAGTCTTGACGCTTAAACATGAAAAGATCATCAAATAACACTATTGATGACATTCGTCTGAAGAGAAAACAATTACGAAATGCCATCTGATCTTCTTTTTCAATGCTTATCTTCTCAGTGCATGAGATAAACCATATTTTTAAAAAAATGCCAAGATTTCTCAAACTTTTATTTCGAATTAATGAAATAGTTCCTTTGATTTTCTCAACTCCTTTACATCACTCTCTCTCTCTCTCTCTCTATGCACTGTATCATAATTTACATGTGAGAAAATGAAATAAGCAAACCTTGAAGTAAAAATTAGTTTACATGTTCGGCTAAGGTCAATTTTATTTGATTCTATACACCTATAGAATGGTGTATAAAAAGAAATTTTTTTAAAAAAAAATATTACATTTCACATATTAATCAAACAACCGATACACAAAAAAAAACTGAGTAGTAGTTGTAGTAGTTTTATATGTAATTGAATAATTGTGCATTGTATATTAATCGTTAAATTATTTGCAAATTTCAATCAAATTCATGGGTGTGACAAGTAAAATTTGCAAAAACAAATAAGTAAACAAACAAACAAACAAGTGTAATTCATAAGTAAAAATAAACGAAATAGTTAAAATCAAATTTATTGTACACATTCTTTAAACCACACCTATTGAATTGAATTTATGTAAAATAGTATTATTATTATTATTATTATCATTGTGAAACAGTTGGATTAACCAAACAAAACAAAATAAAAATTTTCTATATTCAACATTGAAATGTTTAAAACTTGATTTATAACAATGAAATGGTAAATAATGCCTTGACAGAAGATATGCATTGAAGTTTGGACAAAAAGGAGATTATGAACAATGCATTTAAAGCTTGTACTTAACTATACATCAATCAATCAATCAACAGATAATGCTTACGGTATGAATTAACGTTCAACGATCTTCCAAATCAGATACTCGTACAGGCATATATATATATATATATATATATATATTGGTACAGTTTTTCCCAGCATGTCCAACTTTAGAGATTAGAACTATCGCACAAGGTATACATCCATGGACGTTATAACCGACAGTCAGTAAGTGACTTCATGAAATGATTCTATTCCGTTTATTTGATTTCCTCTAGCTTCACAACATATACATAAGCATCATTCCAAATATGTGACATTTCACTGTGAATCTACTTTATACAAAGATCATTGAGAATGATTTATTGACTAAAATAAGCTTGTGAATTGTGTATTCAATAAATGCCATTGAATTATCATTACTAGTTTTCAAACCAAAAGGGTAGCTAATAAGCTTGATGTATATAAAAATCTATGTTCAGCAAATAAATTATCCTAAATTGAGTTCATCATTTTACGTTTAATCTAATGTTCTGAATTGAATAAATCTGAACTGAAGAACTCAGTTAAGGCTTGAAATAGACAATCAGTATGTAAGTACATCAGTTCATGGTGCCATACCCATTAGCACAGAGATTCAATTGTCAATTCAAATCCAATAGTAGAAGAGGTAGTAAAAGTATTAGCAGTAATCGGACAGATTAGGATTAGAAGATATTATTCAAGAAGTGTGATTCAGTGAAATAAGTTTAGAAAGACAAAACTAGAGGTGTTGAATAATCAAGAAGATTAGGATTTGAGAGAACACAAAGAATAAATGCACCGGCGCCATTGCAAACGATTCTGAGCCATGTCATTCAGGGTCTCCAACCATCGATTCTTATCACCTCGAGGACCCCAACCAGGCAGTCGACACCTACCGACATAACTCAGTGACTTCATGGATTTCTGCCATGTTTTGGTCTGGCCGCCCCTAACTTTCTTCCAACCTACTCCTACACTACAAAACAAAGCTCGTCGATTATTTCGTGATTGACATTGTGACTGAAATTTGGTAATTCTAAGCTGATATTTATTAATCCTGTGCGGATTGCTTCGATCCAAACTTTATAAAATAAGTTTACAGAGAACAAACAGCATGTGGCTAACAGCGGAATCCAAGACACAGGTTTTGTCGGATTCGCGATTCGGCAGCTGGATTTAGCTTGATTCGATAGTTGATTCTCACCCCAACACTGGAAACTAATGACTTTCGTTTCAAGCACCAACCCATTAATCACTTGCGCACGTGGTTTTCAGAGACCCGGAATGAAAATCAATTCTGCGATTTAATTAAATCCTATTGAAGAATCCCAAATACAATGAAATATGCGTGTTGGATTCTACTGTTATTCACATTCCATCCATTCTATATGAAATATGTCATAAAGACTGAACTCTGACATGCAGCACTGATAAAACAAATAAACTGAAAGTGATCGAAAATGCTTATTCCAAAAACGAACAATTCCAAGTTCATATTATTCTCCTCTCCACTCTACATAACGCTACCCGGTATAAAACCATTGAAATAATCTATTTTCTTTCTAGAAATTTATAATAATCTGTTGTTAAAGTGTAATATCATACAGCTAAGCTGATCATGTGAATTTGTTTCTGTCTGATAAAATAACTATTATCACTTGTATCAATAATAATAATAATAATAATAATAATAATAATAATAATAATAATAATAATAATAATGCTCAAACTTTCAATACCGTTAATTATTGAAGTGAAATGTTAAGAACAGCACAAGAATGTGTATTTTAATCAATAGTCAATTCTGTGATGCACATTGCACAACAAATCTTTTTGTATATTGAAAATTGAAAACAATCAGTCATCAAGTAAGTACACATCTGTGGATTGTAGTTGTTTGGAATCAAGTTCGAATTGAACTATACCGATTAGTTTATTGTTTAAGCAATCAAATTTTGTAAGTGTAACGAAATGCTTTTATTACTGCATATTAAGATATTCGAGTGTTTTTATGATACATAATACTTGTTCTTAAAATTCTTCTTCTAATTTATAGTGAAGTGAGTGAAGTATTCTGGTCAGTGGATACTTATTTGTAGAAGACTACAAAACATTACAAATGTGAAACACATATAACAAGCAAAGGTTAGATAAGTCGGTGTCTTCTCAGTATTTTTTTTACGTATGTTGAAATCGATAAATCAGTAATGCTGTGTAAAGTGATGAAGTTCAAAATAAAGCAAAAGTAACAATCTATATATACATGCTTCGTTGTTTCGTTTATTTTTTTTGTTCAAATTCAACAAGCTACCAAGTCATATTAAGATTAAAGCTTGAAAACGAAACTGGAAACAGATGATTGAAGTACAGAAAAGGTGTTATTTCATGAAATCATTGACAGTCACTTTTATTCAAGGTGTATATATGCACGCTTCTTAATTAAACGTATGAAACAGTATCGATCCATGGTTGTTATTAGACAGATGGTCTAGACCAATATATTTGTGGTCAAACTACATTCACTCTTTACCTCGATTGCCAAAATTCAACCCGTACTAAAAAGAACTAGACAGACAGGAAATTGTTCACTATTCAATGGCTAACCACCTGTAGTCTTTACCACCCTCTAAAACTTGAATTTCATGTAATTTTAAGCTATTTTATTTTTTAAATTCATATGTTCTTTTTTTTACGAAGTTCATTGATAATGTCTTAGATTTTCAAATCAGTTAATGATATTATTTGTCTGAACTATTCTTATGTTGACTAGTGGTATTAGGTAGTTTTTATTACCGACTTTTTAGCTGTTGATTATATACTTAATTGGATCTCTGAGGTAAGTCAGTTGTTCCAAAAGAAATAATCGATAAGTAGAAAATTGAAGAAGCACTAGACGCCTGTTTTATTCTATTTTAGGAGTTCTTATCAATGAGTATTCATGCATGATAGCAATGGGCTCTATAAAGGTATGGTTATTGAATATGGTGTTCAATTTTTAGGGTGCAGAAAACTGTACCAAAAAGGTTGAGATTTCTAGCTAATCCAACGAGTTTTATAAAATCAATCTATAACTACTAACCGACATTGTTGAGAATAAGATCAGAAGCAAATATTAAGCTCTCTGTCATACCCTGAATACTTCTTACCCTATGTTTATATCAGTTTTAATCCTATACAATCACCACATATTTATAACATTGTACCAGATCGTATTTCATATGTTTGCGCGTTTGTTAGCCTCACTTATCATGATGACCCAGTTGAAATTCAGGTCCCACCAAGGAAGGCAAGTCAGTTGTAGAGCAGTAAAACTTAAGTCACCAAATTAAAGTCTACGAGCGGGGTCGTCATACTGTCACCTGTAATAGGTTGTAATGGCAATAAGGTGTTTTCCTCAGATAAGCGGTATCTGTGGTGATATCACCTTTCCACAACGGAAGGGGGTGGTTAAAAAGATCAACCTTAAAAACAGTCCCTCTCACCTTACTCTATAGCTCTCCATCGAAGGAGGAAAAGACTATGAAGTAAGGAAGTGAAGCATCAATAGATATTTACGAGTAAATTGTGTGTGACTAGCCGCAAACAGTTGTTGCTTGAGCTATCCGAGCAAGTAATCAGACCGTCACGACCATCCGTATTCCAGCTTCCGTTTTAAGTCTCTCAGGAAAAAATCGTGTTCAACGGGGAAGTAACAACTGTACATACAATTCCAACAACACTCAAGATCACTCTGTTCTAATATTAAATTATCATATTAAAAAAATGGTTTACATAAACCAGGTTTTACATACCATACTCGTGTGGCATATCATCTTGTTTTGATGTTACAAAATTGACACTTGTTACAGAATAGGTCTTTCCAAAAAATATTGTAACATTACGATCCTCAGTAGATGCTAACACAGAACTTTCTGTCACAGTACTTTCATCATTCAAATGCCATAATAATCCATCACATGATTCCATGGAGTCCGCAGGAACTCGATGATCAATATATGGCTTAAACAATGTAATTTCAACTAAAAGAAAGAAGAAAACAGTTACAAAACAAAAATGACTTGGATAAGGGAATTGAGCAATTACTCGCTCAACGTTCAATTCCTATTTATAAATCAAGGTGTAAAGCAAAAATACAACTAAGTGGAATAAAATACAAAAGGCAATTCCACCAAAACACAAGCATTTTGAACTCGACAGTATGAAGTCGAGAATAAATGAGAGGAATAGGCGAGGCGGAATGAAGAAAACTTCTCAATTGATGGTTATTGAATGAATCGCATAAAATTTGGAAGTATATACACGATTATTCCTATCACTTTTGAGGTAAGCTAAAAAAAATACGTGTATATATGTGTACCAAGTACACATACTTATACATGTTATTGAATTCCATTATATTTAAAGTGAAAACTATTGAACTTTTCTGGTGGAATAAGGAGTATTCTTTAGTTACGCCAAGGTTATTGTTCAATGCTGTTATCTTTCCAATGGTTAATCAACACAACTCAATAACCGATCTATGATGTCGCTTCAAACGTGATGTTAGTTGCTACTTAGAGAATAATCAATCGCAAATATCACAGTCTTACAAGAGGTCAGTCGAAGATCAAATAACCCTTACTGATAATATGGGAAACTATAAAAGTGAGTACCATTAACCCACAAACCCACAGAAAAGATAAAGTTCCTGAATATTGTCAGGCATATCGATCAACGAACCACGAAAACACCTCTAAGGTTTCCTACTAACTGCCACTATATACTCAAAAAATTGAATAAACATGGGATATTATTGAATTTCCAGTATGTGGTTGTGAAGAAGACAGGATAAATTCAAAAATTCGTCAATCCTAATAATTGATCAATTATCATTAGCAATATAGTTAGTTAATCTGTAAACTACGGATAATTTACAAAAAAAATATTTTTATGATTATATATATATATTACAAAACGAGTATTTGTGTGTAAATTTACAAATACTGGGTAGCATCATTGATGAGCAAAGTCCATCTGATACAGAAGTAAAGACATGGACTAGCGAAGCGAGGGTAATATTTCTACAATTGAAGAACATCCAGAACTCTAAACAACTGCCAACCAACACCAAATTCACAATTTCCAGTACTATATGGAAAGGAAAGTTGAATAACTTAGAAAGCAATCATCCACAAGATACAGGTTAACAGTTGTCTATGCAAGACACTATGGATCTGTTGGCCAAATCACATCAGTAACAACCTACCGTGGGATAGAATAAACCAGATTGAAGTTGAGTAAGAGATTAGGAAAAAGCGCTGGAAGTGCACAAACTGCATCGCGAGGCAAGCCACAACTTGGAACTCTCAAAGCCGAAGGAAAAGAGGAAGACCAAAGAACATCACGCCGAGAACCGGAAGCATAATAAGAATGAACACTAGTTCGGTGCGACTGGAAAGGAAGTCCCAAGACAGAGTGGGTTGAACAATGTTTTTGTTGGTGGCCAATGCTTCATTAGGGCTAACAGGTAAAGGTAGTAAGTAAGTAAACTTACAAAACGGTAGTCAAAATATTGTTATAAACATTATTTTAATCAGTGTTTATTCTTTCCAAATTTATTGCAAGAATTCACCAATGTTGAAGTAGTTTTATTTAAACTACTTTTTCGTGATAGGTGAAAATCATCTCCTTTACATGCTGAATTATTTTTTAACTGTACGATGTCAAGATAAAATAATGCCAGCATTGTATAGAATTTTACTCTTCTCAATAGTACAATAACAAAAGAGGCAAACCGACTAGAAACAACAATGAAAAGTGAGAAAAGTATCACTTAATAAATAATTAAATTTGATATCTAAGTAGACAGTCAAATGGATATGGAAAACTTTACATAAATAGGCGAAACTATGATTTACGAACGACCTGTAAGAGATATCAAATTACTCTTGAGAAACAATGAACTGTTTTATAGGGTTAAAATAGAGTTTTACAGTTAGTGTGAATTTGAATCCACAGTTAAAGTTAGAAGTCAAGGGGTTAGCAATGAAAATTAGGGTGTTCACCACGAACTGACATCATATATAATTCTTAAATATAAATTGGCTGTATAGATGAATTTCCAGCCAGAAACCATCTAATCTCTGATTGCTTTGTCCAGAAATCGGAAGTCCCACATATTTAATCATGTCCTCTTAAGGAATACTTTTAACTTGTGACAAAACATTTGTTTTCTATTAGTTTTCACTGTTCAATAACATCCTTGGAAGTCTTCAAAAGTTAAAAAATCTCATCATCTTGGATGTTTCACATGTGATTGTTCACCTGTACACTATAACCAAAACAGACCATACGTGAAGATTTTGCTTTTCATTGACAAACCAAAAGTTTTTAATAAACGATTTCTAATATCATCACGATATAAGCATGTTGAATATTTACAGGTTATCAGACCGCATATCATATTAGATATGACGATTAAGCTTGACTTTCAATCTCCTAAAAGCAACTCCACTTTCAAGTAGATAGAATATCCAACTAGTCAATTACTTTTTTAAGCTTTTCAGAGTTATTATTTGTCTAAAATTAAGAAGTTAGTTAATTTGTGAAGAGATACTTATTTGCTCTACTACAACTTTATTGATTCATTCAGTCGATTATTTACTCATGCATGTATAGAACTGTATACAAAAAAAATCATCAAAATCTTACTTTGGCTGTGATTATTCACAACGATTCTAATGTTGCATTCTCTCCAGTACTTTGAGCCATTTTTTCTTTTATTAAGTTGTTGAGTGCTGTTTGTTAGTGTATAACTCTCATTAGAGATTTTATTTCAAAAAGCTTAACTTTACTATAGAAAAGATGGAATGTGGATGCCAGTGGGATGTTAGACGAGTGTTTCGACCTATAAGGGATACATTAGCTGGACGTCACTGCAATTCGGAATCGATGTCCGCACTCTAGGATTTGTACCTGAATTCAAGTCAGAATATCAATATCAACTTAGTTAACTCGCCTGGTTAGGTTGTGTTACACACTAATATACTCTTTGCAGATAGTTACACATAACGCTAGACTTTTGAAGTAAATCTATGGTGAAATATTGAACTCTTACAATATACAGCATTCATAAAATAAATGAACGAAAGAATGATCAACAATACTGGATTTATGCAATACAATTATTGGACATTGAAAATATTTTCTTTTACTGCAACAAAATTAGTTATTTACAATCTGTTTATTTTCCTCATGTTTAATGTATATATATATATATATATATACATATAATTTTTTTCCCAGCTTATTGATTTTGTTCAATAATTGGAACATTTAACAAAGTAGTTATCGCTACTCTTTAATACTCAAATGTGACAATTTTGAAAATTTTTGACAAGTAACAAATTACTTTTGTCTAGAATAAGGTGTACATAGAATGAATTTAGAAATAAGGCTACCTGTCAGATATATATATATATATATATATATATATATATATATAGCACTTGAATATCCGTGCACACTTATCACTTTTTGAAGAATCTTCTTGAGAAAAGGTGAGGTTAATAGTAGTGATCATGTGACAGTATTGATTAGTTCTAAAAGGTGGAATTCAACCAAATAAAAAAAGAGCTTATAGTAATAAGGATATCAATTATAATTATAATTATTATTATTATTATCATGGTGTATGTGAATTAATATAGACTAATTTATTTCATGCACACCTGATAATCAGTCTACAGATTTATGTAGAAATTAATCTCAGTAAGCTTTGCCAGTTAGCTTTGTAACCTCTGTATCCATATGTTTATATGATGATCGAACAGAAAGAGATCATAGAAATTGAATCTGCTACATTGTAATGCATACAAATGTTTATCACACTAATCATAACGTAAAACTGCATGATAGATTTAGTATATATATATATATATATATATATATATATATATATATATATATATATATATATATATATATATATATATATATATATGCTTAGACTAATGACATTAAAATGTACGTTATAAAACTGTTGAAAACGTCCATGACCTTAAATCTATTAATGATAAATTTGAATATAACATATAGATCATAGACTGAGATTAATTTAGATTAGACAACTTTCAAAAATTAGGAAGCAATAAACAGATGTTTTATTTCTTAGTAAAAGACAATTAAACAGTGTTCACCAATGTCCGTGTTAGGCTTTATGCGACAAATTTATCACCTTTAAACAATTGAACTGATTCACATTTCTATTCTCAGTTAAATTGTGATATTGAGTGATTACCATTCGATTAGCATTGATGACATCTGTTTCACAGGTGATTGAATACTACCAAATCACGATATCTTCGCGAAATTCTAGAAAATATTTATGAAGTTAGCCATAATTTATGAGCATATGAATATTTGATGTTAATATTTTTGTGATGACTGATTAGCTGAATGCTTAATTATATTACGAATGATATAAACTAGATGTTATGACAGATTGTAAAGATAAATCTAATATTAATGTTCATAAGTAGTTTTTATCTAGCCTGGATTTGTAACAATGGAACAGATAGCTTCTTCAGGGGATAAACTTAAACTGTTTATGAATCCATTTGTTTGAAGCTTAAGCATAACTCCAAAAAGTATCAACAGTGCCTCTGTCTAAAATTCATCAGAGGATTCAGTTCCATGCAACCCAGTTTCACAGTTAGAGAAATTAGTATTGAGCTCTTTGAGTTGCTGTGAACGTTCCGTAGGAGCGACATAAATGTGATGGATTGAAAAACTAGCAGTAAATCTTTAAAAAACCTCAACAGAGAATTATCATATATTTTTATTATATAGTCATTAAATACTTGGTTTATCTGATATTTTTACGTTGCACTTCTTGTGAATTTTCATTTTTGTTAATTAACTGTTCTTATATGTTTTATCGTTCTTATGAGGTCCCAGTATCGAACCCTGGTCCACCTACTTCTTCTTGGGGAACTTGGTAGAATTAATAGCTCTCATACTTACTATGTGTTTAAAGAAT